AGGGAGCCCGATGCGGGGCTCAATCCCAGGGCCCTGGGATCATGACCTGAGCCAAAGGCAGACGCTTAACAACTGAGCCACCCAGGCGCCCCAATACCTAGTCACTCTTAATGCCAGTAATGTATCTGAAGGATGTTTTTATTAGAAACAATTTAAACACAGTACAGTTGTTTTCAGAAGGACAGCACAATCATTTTTCCTTCCTTTGCTCAATATCTACACTAAATATAATCCACATTTAGAATATTCTTATTTAACGTAATTATTTGGATACTCCTATGGTTAAAACCAGCTATTTAAGAACACTGAACAAAGAACCTTACCCTTTGTTACATATAATCAACAGATTTATCTTTTTCTCCTTTACTGGCAAAAATTACATTTCCACAAAATAAAATGAATGTTAGGTTGGTTAACTTAAGCTAGTGGTTAGGGCATGATGTTATAACAAGGCTAAACTGACAACCAATTAACTTTGCAGGGTAAGAGGCAGCATCAAAACCACTGCTGGTCAGTTCTCTGATCACAAAGAGAGCCAGTTGGGTCAAATGTACAGCTGGGTCAGCAGAAATCTACAATCAGCATGTTCTATTTATCAACTTCACTACAAACAAATCATGCAAAGAGCTGTCATCTGGGAAGAGAAAAACACCAATGATATACCCACTGGATCATGAAACAGATGATAACCTAGGCGGTAAAATCTAAAGTATAAAATCTATTTTAGATGCTAAGTTGAAAAAATATTTTTAAATCCATTTCTTTTAATATCTATACTAAGAATTTTAAATGCCACCACACTAAATTTTTAATCCTATTGCTAAAACAAACAGATAATGGTGGCAGTAATATTCTTCTCTCAACTAGAATGTATAAAATATTTAAAAAGAGGACAATCCCTAACCCCTTTAACCTCTCAGCTTTATTAATACATATACTTTACCTTTATGTATCAATTGTAATCTAAGAAAAACTATACCTTCAAATCAAAATAAAAATTATTTTCTAAAGAGAGACAAATCTGTTTCTCATTTTTTACTCCTGGTAATAACTGCTACCAAGTCACTTTTCCACTCTCAATGTCTCTTCTGACTTATAATCCCATAATATGTTGCAGGAGGCAATGGAATTACCACTCAGTCCTTTAGATTTGCCTCTCCTACAGACTGTGAATTCCCTGAGAATAGCACAGCTTCCTCCAGTCCTTCTTCCCACCTTCAGTCCCTTACAGAGTATAAACTGACACACTACATTATTCATTTGTTCACAGATCAGCCTCTCCTATTAACTACACTATAAAATTCTGTAGACATTAGGTGTGTATCATCAACCCTTTACACTGTGCCAGGCTATAGAAGACTTTTGAATAATATTCAGTTGAAAATTGAGCAACTAAACTTTGGACTCTTTCCTATCCCACTCAGTATTAGCAAAGCACCCTCCAAATATGGACCACTGTATTTTTTGTATGAATCTTTGACCCAAGACACATTTTTTTCTGTTTCTATTAGCCATACTTTCAACTGCCTCTTTGGAGGGAAAAGCCTTGGAGTAGGTCTGGTTCCTTCCCCAATACAAATAGTCCCTACAAGATAATAGAGAGTTCATTATATATCCAATCAAGTAAAATCTCACAATAACATCCTTGAGTAACTATGCGATCCTTACAAAATTCATGAGCCTATAAATTCTAACACCTTTTTTTTTTTTTTTTAGTTTATACTAAGACTGGAGAGCGCTTCCCAACATAGCTGATACTAAGGATGCCGGGAGAGATGGAAGTGGGAGTAAGGGAGGAAAAAGAAAAAGAAAAAGACCATAGTGAAAGAACAATTTAACACTTCTTCCATTTCCACCTTTATCCCAAGAGAATTTAAATGGGGAGGGAAAAAAATGGAGGTAGAACCTGTGATTCAGAATAAGCCATAGAGAAAACAAAAGATGCTGAATTTGCAGTGTTTTAACCTATACTTTCAAATAATTTTTAAGAAGGATTTTTTTTTAATCCACAGAATCTTTTGCTTCATACAGGCGCAGCTGGATCTCATCTCACCCAATATACCCCACTTCCATATACATACACACAACGTTACCACTATGAGTCTCCGTGCCAAACCAGCCATCTCGGGAAAAATTAAACCATGAGGATCATTTCCTAATCCCTGCTGAAAAATACTCACAATTCTTTTTCCCACAGGAAAATTAACTATTCTAACGGGAACGGGGAGGGGGGGAGTGCTCGTTATCATGCAGTTTCTCATTCTCCACAGGGAGGAAAATGGCAACAACTTCCAAAAAGAGACAACTGCTCTTCTACTGTATCCCCGGTTAGAAACTAAAAAAAATAAGCAAAATTTCCAGTCTCTTGAGGCATTTATATGAATATAAAACTAAGGCACTTTACTTTGCAGCAACATAGCCCCTTAAAAATCCTCCAGAGCTTGGGGGATGGGGGTGATCCATCAATCCCCCCACACCCCTGCTATATGGGGGAGCAGGATTCTGTCAAATAGAAAAAGCCACTCTCCGCCTCCTCCGCCATCCCGAACACTGACGGGTACCGAGTGCGGGGGCGGCCGAGGGGGAGAAGCGAAAAGGCGGGGACACAACACACACACACACCGCACCGAGGACTGATTCATGGCTTTTTCAAAATGCTTTAAAGCTACAATGTCCTCCAGCCGCAGGTTTCTCACCAATTCACCAGCCCCAGCTCCCACCCTACTCCCCCAACCCCTCGCCCTCGGGGGCTTAGCTGGGCTGGGTCCCCGCCGCGGCCTCGGCCCCGCGCGCCCTACGCCCCCAGGCGCGCGGCCCCCGGCCCGGGGATCCCCCACGCGGGGTCCACCAGCCAGAGGCCCAAAGCGCCAAGGCCCGCACATGCTTCGCACCTGGATGTAGTTGTTCTCGCAGTAATCTGCCACCCGTTCCAGATTCGTGTAACTGTCGAAGAGGGCCCGGCGGCCCCCCGGGATTTCCTCCTCCAGCAGCATCTGCAGCTCCGCCATCTTCACATCCTCCTCCTCCTCATACAGACCGCAGAGGTAGCGGCGGCAGCAGCGCCTGGGAAACCCAAGACTGGGAGAAGAGGAGAAGAGGAGAAGAGGAGCAGCGGTAGCGGCGGTGGCGGCGGCGGCGGCGGCGGCGGCGGCGGCGGC